GGGGGCGGCCGGCGGGCGCCGGTAGGCCTGGCCGAACTTGCGCAGCTGCAGCGTCGCCTGCTGGTGGAGGTTCTTGGCCAGCTCCCGGGCCACGTCCGGCCGGCCGCAGCGCCGCAACGCCCGGGCCACGCGGTCCCAAGAGAGGGTCGAGGCTTCGGCCGCCAGCCAGTCCGCCAGCCTCTCCCGGCAGCCGTCCGACACCTCCGCGGACTCGGCCGCCGCCCGCTTCCGCCGCCGCCGCCACAGCCTGCCCGGCGGCTTGGACGTGGGCCCCGGCGTCTCCGCGCGGGCCAGCCGGTCCTCAGAGAGCCGGGCCAGCTCGGCCTCGACGTCCGGCTCGGGCACCTTCAGGAGCGACTGGAAATGGTCGCACTCCTCCGGGGTCAGCAGCTCGGCCAGACGGACGGCCGCGTGGGGGCCCATAGCGTCCAAGGCCCCCGCCGGGGCCAGCGCCCAGCCCCAGAGCGCCAACGCCAGGGCCTGGGCCCGCGCGGCCGTCGCCGTCCCCGTTGCCATCGCCGTCTGTGACCCGACTGGGCGGGGAGGAGCTCAGAACACCCATGGGGGGGGGGAGGGGAGCCTGACACTGGCGGCGGGGGAGGGGAGAGGGCGGGGTTTCCGCCGGCCGGGACTGGGGGCCAGGGGGCAGCTGACACTTGGGGCTTCGTGGGAATCTCCCAGCACCCAGAAACTAGGAATCAAAAGGAATTGGAGGGAGTTCAGCACCCAAGGGTAGCGGGGGGAGGGAGGGAGACCCAGTCCCCTAGGATAGGATAGAATCCTGGGCCCTTCTATTAAAATGCCTGCCCAACGCCTGACTCCCAGCCATCCCACTAATGCCTCAAACTTAGCAAGTCTCCCACATCTCTAATAACCCATTTGTAACCCCTCAGCCTCCAGCACAAGCCCTAGACCCCTTGCTCCCCATTATCCAATATCTAATCCCGAATTCTCGGACTACCAAATATTTATAGACTCTACCAATTCCCACCCTCCCACAGGTACCTCCAGACCCTCATCTCCTCTTGTCTAGATAAGGTGAGCTATTCAAGTGCCCACTCCCACTGCACACACGCTGGGGCCCCAGTCACTGGCCTTGTTTCCTGAGCAACCTCGGGTCTGGCTCCCCTTTGGCTCTTGGCCCACACGCTTCTGCCCTAGTCACTCCTCAGCCAGAGTGGGTCCTTTCTGGGAAGCCCTCTCTGACCCCAGCACACACCCTTTGCCCCTCTCCACTAGGAATCCCTCTTATTCTCTCCTGCAACACACCGCAGTTCTGCCTTTTTACTGTCTCCTCCATTCGGCTGTAAGGTCCTTTTGTTGTCCCTATAGCAACTAGTGCAGAGTAGGTGTTCAGGAAAGATGTTTTCAATCAGTGTGTGTGTGAATTCATGTGAAATCAGTCCCTGTCCAAACACGCACCCATGACCTTCATCTCAGATCCTGGGCTCTTCACAGGGCATGAAAAGTTCCTCCTGCTAAGGTGGTACAGTCCCAAGGATCCGTCCAGCCTCATTTCTCCCCCGAACCCCCACTCCCCCCACTCCTGCCCTCACTTGATGCTCTTGTAACAAATCACACCCGTGGTGGGTTCCAGCCTCCAGTTTCGTTGGGCTGTACCCCCTCCAGGAAGTTTTTCTGACACACCACCACCACCGCAGGTTAGAATCTCTTCTGGGCATTGAGACAGCCTGTGCATCCTCCATTGGGACACTTATCTGGAAAATCATTAATTGAAGGACTTATCCAGCATTTGTTTAGTGTCTTCCACGTACCAAATACTGTACCAAACGTGAGAATATACGATTTTCATATGATCCCTTCCCAGCAGCTTTTTCCAGTTGTATTTTCAAATGATCCATTGTGGGGGCGCCTGGCTGTCTCAGTCAGTAGAAGTGTGTGACTCTTGATCTCAGAGTCCTGAGTCCGAGCCCCACATTGGGTGTGGAGCCTACTTAAAAAATAATAATAATAATCAAATAATCCATTTTTGAGCTTTTCTCACCCTGTATTGTGGGCTCTCCAGAACAGCAGCTGTGCTTAACCATTTCTGTATCCTCAGGGCTACACAGTGTCTGCACAGTGTCTAGGCCTCCAGGGGCCAAGACGGGTTGGTCTCTGAGTCCTGGGGCAATGCCCTAGAGCCCCCCTTATCCAGGCACACAATTGTTTCTCTTACGGGGGAAACTGCTTTGCAGGCTCTCCCCTCGGGCTTGCTTTGCCTCCTGAAAGCCCAGGGTGGCCCTGAGCCCTGAGCCCCTGTGCACATGTACTGTAATCCTTGCACTTTGGTGCATTTTCAATAATATTGTTTAGAGCATTCAAGGACCTCAGGAAACTGTAGGTCCGCACCTCTGACAGGTATCTACGTACAACTTTTTCAGCAAGGTCTTCCTTCCTTCCTAGTTTTCTCAGGCTCCGTTTATGATAAGCTGGCAAAGACAGAGTTTGGGAATTGACAGATGGTGGTGGACAAAGGGTCCCACGTGACCCTGAAGACTGGAACTAGGCCCTTTCCATAGCCTGCCCTCTGCACCCTTTCCCTCCCTCCAAGAACAAAGTCTGATCTTAGCTCAAGCCAATGAGGGCCGCTGTCCACATTCTGGGTGCACCTTCTTCTTCAAGCTGCCCCCTTTTCTCCAAGCATTCATTTATTCATCCATTCACTCGTTCACCAAACGTGTGAGCCCTTCTTTCTCCTCATACCTTGGGGCTCTGCAGATAGGAGTCAGCCCCAATTCTGAGCCTCTGGGAGCTCATAACTACAGGAGGGCCTTCCCTATCCAGGGGCTTTTCACCTGGTGGCCTTAGCGCCCAATACTTGGTAGGCACTTGCTGTGCCAAAATGAGGAACGGGAGACCCACAGTAATGGTTTGCTGAAGGACTAGAAACGCCCACAGGACCACATGCCCCGCAGCCCTGGATGCCCAAGCATTCCCCAAGGGCTCCCCACATCTTGCTGCCCCCAAGAAATTCTCTGGAAGCCACATGTCATCGCTTTAATACTGTGTAATACTTTCTTTTAAAATACAGTCTCTTCTGAGGTAGACAGACCACAACTGCAGAGCATCATCAGACAGGAGATAAATACGTCCATGTACAACACGCAGCAAAATGAGGTAGAAATGGTTACAGCTGGAGGAGAGGAACCCAACCCCAGTCTGGGTAGAGGAAGAGGAGGACCAGCTTGCCGAGTCTGTCCTCCCCACATCCATGCCCCTGGATTCTTTGGTATGCCCCCCCCAACATTACCAGAGCTGGACCTGCCCTTCCCCCCACCTGCCCCAGTGCCCATGAGGTAGGTGCTAGTAGACTGGGGGCTGTCTCCTTGTGCAAAGCTCCCCAAGGCCAGTGGAGGAGGCAGTGGGGGCCCTGGGTCTCAGTGAGTTCCTCCCCCCACCCCCAGCTGCCTGCCTCTTGAAGGGAAGGCTGAGATCCCAACCCCACTCCCCGGGGCCCTCCACCCCCACCCCCATATACATACACACACCTGAGAGAAACTTCTCACGCCCTGCACCCTCCAAAGGGCCCTTTACAGCAGTGCAACCCACTGCTGCTGAGGCACCAAAGCCCTGCAGTCAGCCAGCTCCAAGGAGAGGAGGGCCAGAAAGACCAAGGATGAAAAGCGGGGGGTGGGGGAGAAACAGAGCAGCTTTCCTGTTAGCAGCCCTAGGCCAGCACAGGCCCTCGGCACCTTGGCACCTGAAATGTCCCCTGTGGACACCCTTCCAGCAGAGTGGGAGATGGTACAGAGACTGGAGGAGCTGGAAGGGTGAGCAGGGAACAGGGAGGGAGGCTGGGGTGGGAGAGAGAAGAGGTAGGGTGAGGGCTTGCCTCCTGCTTTGGACCAAAGGTCAGAGTGGTGAAATGGGCTCCCTGAGGGAGAGAAGCCCTATCAAGGGAAAGTTGCTGGGAAGGACAGGCATATTCTTCTCACAAGGAAGCCCCCGCACCCGCCGCCTCCCCGAGGCTGGCTTCTGGTGGAAAGTTTGGGTGGGACTCCCACCCTAGCATCAGGGAAACTCCTAGCATCAGGGAAAACCAGCTTGCCCATCCCCTTCACCCTCTGGAAGCCCCTGGGGCTCCCAACCGAGGACCCTAGGAGAACGGGACAGGCCCGCTTCCCAACAGAACCTTCTGTAATTGGTGCTACTTCCTCCTTGGAGCCTCCCAACATACAGGGAAGCTGAGTCTGTAGCCAGTTTTGTGCCCAGCCAGACTCGTGGCCACACGGTCTTCTCTCCCGAGGGAATCCTAAGTTATAGAAGATCTCTGCCTAGGTAAGGGCCAGGTGAGATGACCACTCTGGGGACTTTCTGCCTCGGACGCCTGCCCATTTGGGTCCTCTCTTTCTGGATCTGGGACAGGGAGGGGGCAAGGGCCTCCCTCTGGATAACCCTAAAGAAAAAAACACTAAGCTGGAGAGTGGGGCTCAGGGGGAGAGCAACAGGACCTACCTCCTCTCAAATCCCACAACCCACTCCCCCACACCCCCGCCTACAACCTTGGACCTGGGGAGGAAGCCCTAGAAATACATTCCGCTTCTGTCCCAGGAAGAGCAGGGGTGTCCGTGGGGCTCTGGGCCTTCCTCTCCCGTTACCCACAAGTTTCACTTTCTGAGTCTTCTGGGAGAATCTGTTCCTCGGGAGGGGTGGGGGGGGGCAGGGAACACACAGGAGAGCAGCCAAAGTCTAACATTCTTTCTGAGGTCAGTTTCTTCCTGAGTTGTCAAAATAAAACGAAAAACAGCAAATTCTACACATCTTACAAAAATAAGAGGCCTAAAATATTAAACAAGCTACATTTCTGGGACTTCCCCCTCAAAAACAAACAAACAAACAAAAACCCTTCTTTGGGTGTTTTGTTTTGTTTTGTTTTGTTTGTTTTGCTTGCCTTCCCCCACCCCCCAAGGCCCAAGGATACAACTGGGTGAGGGATAATGGGGTGGGAGGGAACTCCCCACACCCTCCTCCTCAGCCCCGGACTTCCAGATCTCCTGCAAAGGGACACTGCATTCTTTGAATGAGAAGGACCAAGGGAAAACAGGCTGGAGAGCAAGGGATGGAGACAGAAGCACAGAGGGTGATAGATGGAGAGATAGGGGAGGGAGGAGCAAAAGAGAAACAGGGCCAGCATATGAGGGACAGGTCAGTAGTGACAAAGCCACGGAGAGAAAAAACTACGCGAATGCAGAGAAAGGGGAGGGGGGGGCGCATTCAGAGCGCGAGGAGACAAAAGGATTGTGGAGAGGGCGCAGGAGTTCCTTAGGCCCCGGGTGCCAGCCCATCCCGGGTCGGCCCGTCGGCTGGGCAGAGATGGCGAGCTTCCCGTCCACAATAAATAGGAAAAACCTGAGTACACAGCGCATATGGCATCTATCTGCCTAGCAGAAGCATTTTCCTTCCTACGAAAAAAAATCCACCGGCAGCCCCGCCCCTCCCCCAGCCCACATTCATCACTCCGGCACCCTCCCAGCCCGGTTTGGTTAAAGACATCCCCCTCCCGGACGGAAGGG